TAAACGTACACACATACACTAATATATATATATATATATATATAATGTTATATTCAGATACTTATCGTATAACTGCTTACCCAAATTAGCGCATGAACATCTCATCTCCGTCTGACTCTGTATAGATGCAAATGTTTAAGTACGTATTGCTTATTCAATACATTCATTCGTTATTCTAGGTAGAGCAAGACGTTGAAGAAACTACCACAGATGAGATCGTTGCGGAGCCTCTTGTTGCTGACGTGGATGTGATAGAGGAGCATACAGTCAAGGAAGAAAAGAAGGTACGCATGGACAAGTGGGGTGTTCCTAGTTATTTGTTCTCAGTACTGAATACGATACGGTTGGTTGTATTGACCTGTACTAAGTACCAAATGAATAACCTGTACAAGTCCAATTCAGTTGCATGTAGTGGTTGGTACTACGTACTATATAAATAGCCTGGACGTAATTGTACTCGAGATGGGGATGTACTGCGACTGTGGGATTGGACATCAGTGCGTCTCTACATGAGTGTGCAAGCTCGGATAAACATCTCTAGTGAGTGTGCAGTATGCAAGTTCCGGCGGTATATTGTATAAGTGACTAGAAACACCGTGTCTGTACGCTCAGTGCTGCTTGTTTATGTTTAATAAGTCTCTATGCGTGCGTGTTTAGAGGGTCTCATCACCGGCTGCTGGGCTCGTGTAGTCGAACCCTATCCATCCTACCAGTCAGAGTCATAGTAGGGTTTTTATCGGATGATACCCTCACCGTTTCGGTAGGAATTACCTACGAACACTTACTCACACACTTAGTACTGTTTCAATCTGACATGTATGTAGGCCCTTGTATACTTGCGCGTGGTTTCACCCCATTTTCCTCGCATAAGCATACTGCATCTTCACACACACAAACACACACACGCACACACACTCACTCACTCATATATATATATATATATATATATAGTATGGTCTTATTATTTATATATATATAGAGTATGGCTTATATTTTTATGATTTTTCCTCATATCTGTATTCTACTTCCTCATGTCTATACACTATTTCCTCACATGAACTTACTATTTCCACACATGTTTTCTTCACACACAGTCATCTTTACTTCTGCACTCATTCAGGTCAAGGCCGTGAAGATCCCCGAAACTCTCGACCCCGATGTACTTCTTGCTCAGGTAAAGCTCCCGTTATCTATTTCCTTGTTACCTGTATTTGTATGTGTATTAAGGGTGTAGGGTGTAGGGTTTAGGTTTTGTATATGTACTTATCACAAAGTGTGCGAGTTCTCTGGTCGGGCAGGTTGCCCAGCTAACCCCTGAATTTACCCAATGATTACCCAGGGTCCTATACTTCTACTTCAAGCACTTGCAGCCCCGCATCCCTATCCTACTCTGCAATATATATATATATATATATGTATGTATGTATGTATAT